AGCTGGGCTGATCTAAAGCCAGTGAAGCCAGGAGCCAGGAGCTCCCTGTGGGTCTCCCACGTGGGTGCAGTGGCCCAAGGACTTTGCTATCCTCTGCTGCTTTCCCAGGTGCATTAGTAGGGAGCTGGATCAGAAATGCAGTAGCCGTATGGGAAGCTGGCACTGAAGATTGCAGCTTTACCTGATACGCCACATTGCTGGACCCTTAACGCTATGTTTGAAGTTCCTTTGTTTATACATAAAGGATATGGGTCTTCAATTTTGTTTTCTTATAGTGTTTTTATCTGATTTGGTGCAGGGTAGTTAATACTGGTTTCCTAAAATGAATTACAGTGTTCCTTCCTCTTTTCTTTTCTGGAACTGATTGGGAAGAATTGATATTAATTCCTGTTTAAATACATTGTAAAATTCTTCAGTGAAATTATATTGGCCTGGTGATTTCTTTCTTGGGGCTGCTTTTATTTACAAATTTAATTTTCTTAGAAGACATAGAGCTATCTGGATAACCTATTTTGTATTGATGAGTTTTTTCAAGGAGTCGCTCCATTTCTAATTGTCAAATTTATTTATCTAGAGTTGGTTATAGCATTCCTCTATCAACTTTTTAATATCTGCAGAGTCTGAAGTGATATGGCCTATTCCATTCCTGAGCTAATAATTCTGACATCTTTCTCACCTCTGTGTTATCATCTGTTGATTAGTTTGTTGTTTACTTGCAATCTTCCTCATTCCTGTTGCGGTGATTGAAACCTGAACGTTTTCATACTCTGGTAAGAGGCTCTAGGTTTTGTTTTAACTTTGGCTTTTAGTTGACTTTCTTTGACCAAAGCCCATTGGAGAAGGACTGATCCTGCCTTGTTTTTGCCAGGAGGAAGTAGAAGTTCAGCCTCCCCCAAAAGTCTACCCTGCCACCATAGGGGGATGAGACAGAAGTCTGCTCCTGCCTAGTCCTTCCTGACACCCTCTTGTTACAGTCCTGCAGTGTATACAAGTCTAGGCTTTCCATTCAACCTTTGCTGGTATGTGTGCAGTGGATAGGGACACAGTTTTCTGTATTGTTTGGCTGGAATAGCTATTCTCCAAAATTTGCGTAGCTAAGGTGTTTTTTCCTTTGTGCTTTGGCTAGGGGATTTCATTAGGACTGTTTTCATCTTTGTCTGTTGGCATTTCTTGGTTGCTGATTTTTTTTAGCTTAAATTTTGGAATATAAAATACAAAAAAGAAAACTCAGGGAACTTCCCACTGTGATCCTGTCCTGATCCTGAAGTCTATGTGCCAGCTGCTTTATTCTCTCTGGCCTTCTCCATCTTCTTATGTTGGTTGTGTATAAAATATCTTGGGTTTTTAGTTGTATTTGGTGAGAAGACTAGGGTAAAATATATCTATTCCATCTTCCTGGAAGTCCAAGTTCTTGAGATGATATATATGCGTTATCTGTCAAATAGCAGGAGTGGGATGAAAGTGCAGCAGAATCACTCACTAACATACTAACCTGGGTTTCTCTTTCCTGTGTTGTTTTTACTTCTTCCTTTCAACTTGGTTTTCTTTGTCAGATCATAACCTTATAACCTTTATGTGTTATTGGTGAATCGCTTTAGAGTAAGTGCAGTGTCCAGAGAGGGCACTGAGATGAAGGTTAACAACAAAGTACCAGAGAAAATGACCAGACTAGAGCTAGACTTGTGGAATCTCTCTCTCAAAATATTTATTTTTATTTATTTGAAAGGCAGAGTGACAGAGAGAGAGAGAGAGAGAGAGAGAAGAGAGAGAGAGAACTCTTCCATCTGTATGTTAATCCTTTCTCCCCTGCACCCTAAATGTCTTCCAGGGCCAAGGCTAGGCCAAATCAAAGCCAGGAGCCTAGAGCTCCATTGAAGTCTCTCAAGTGGGTAGCAGGGGCCCATGTAATTGAGTCATCCTCTGCAGTTTCTCAGGTGCACAAGCGGAGAGCTGGAACAGAGCAGCCAGAACTCCAACTGGCACTCTGATATGAGATGCCGGTGTAACAGGAGGTGGCTTAACTCAGTGTTTTACAAGAACTCTTTTTTTAAAAATAGCCAACTTTATTTGGGTAATGGCTGTTGGGAAAATCTGACATTGGTTCGCCAACTCATTTTTTTACAACTGCTATTTTTCCCACTTTCTTCTGTTTTCACAGTTTCTCTTGCCAGCCTCTACAAATATTTAGAAAGTCTCTTTCTGATTTTTTAAAAAATTAACTTTATATGAATACCACCTTTATTACCATTAATGAGAAGATATTATTTTCTGGACCAGTATTATAATTCTAAAATAAGTTATTAGAACTCATTATCAAAACTCCAAAAAGTTGCAAAGTATTGGAAATATGCTAGAAAAAGGATAAAAAGTACAGATAAGGTATTAATAGTTCTTTTAGAAACACATTTTTTGAATAATGTTTTTAGTAGACAGATAAAATTATGCAAGACATTTCTTATGTAATAATTCATATAAGCTGTATGTATTTTTGTGTGTTTCTATTTTTTCCAAGACTTATTTATTTATTTGAAAACCAGAGTAAAAGAGAGAGAGAGGGAGAGGGAGAAAGAGAAATCTTCCATCTGCTCGTTCAGTCCTGAACGGCCACAACAGCTAACACCGGGGCAGGCTGAAACCGCAAGCCAGGAGCTACTTACAGGTCTCCCATGTGGGTGGCTGGGGTGCAAATACTTGGGTCATCTTCCACTGCTTTTCCCAGGGCCTTACCAGGGAGCTGGATTGGAAGTGAAGCAGCTGGGACAGGATCTGGCACCATATGGGATGCCAGCATTGCCACAATGCTGTCCCCAATGTGTTTTATTCTAATTCAATACCTGCAACTTAAAAATAATATTTGTTTCTTTTAAAATTGCAAATATATTGTTTATATTATTTGTGAAGGGTGCAGAAAATGTACAAAGGTTTCAAAATGTGTTAAAAAGATAAAAGCAACTACCCACAGAATAAATCAGTGTTAACGTTAATGCATTTCTTTCCTATTTTTAAATCTTTGTGTGAATATATATGCATATTTCTAGCTCAGTTTCTGCCAATTTGCCATATGTGTGCATGCATGCAGACTCAGGCAGACTTAATAATGTATTGTAGGCATTTTCCTATAACTGTATACTTTTCTCAAAAATTATATTTACAGAGGATATACCAACTTTTTATTTAGCTGTTTTCTCAATATAAATATCAATTTAATAAATTTACTATGTAAATAATTTGAGATTTTTTATTTACAAAAGATATATTTTAAAAAAGATATCATTATTTTAAAACTTTTAATACCACATTATGATAGGATATGGCTAAAAGATTGCGCCAGTTTCCAAACTCACCCAAAAAAACTCATGATACATATTCATTCCTTCCTTGCTAACACTTAGTAATACCTTTAAATCTGCTGTTTAGGATTTAATGTAAAAAATACACTTTTAGTTTGTTTTGTAAATCATTATTGTAATTGAACATTTATTTCTCATTTGCATTTATACCTTTGTGACTTATCATTAATTAATTTCCATTTTTCTATTGAAGTCTTTCTTTCAAAGATTTGTTTATTTAATTGAAAGAGTGACAGAGAAAGAGGAGAGACAGAGAGGGATTAAGAGAAGTAGACAGAGAGAGAGTGAGATCTTCCATCTGTGATTCACTCCCCAGATGGCTACAACAGATAGGGCTAGTCCAGGTCAAAGACAAGAACTCCATCCTATTCTCCCATGTGGGTGTCAGGAGCCCAAGTTTTGGACCCGTTATCACTGCTTCCCCAAATAAATTAGAAGGAAACTGGATTGGAAACAGAGCATCTGGGACTTGAACCAGCACTCTGCATTATGATGCAGTTGCCTCAAGCCATGCCTTACCCCACTACACCACACATCAGCACCAGTTTTCATTTTTTCATCTTACTGGTATTTTAAAAACATTTATTTATTTATTTATTTGAAAGGCAGAGTTACAGAGAGGCAGAGGCACAGAGAGAGAGAGATCTTTCATCTTTTGGTTCACTCCCCAAATTGCCACAACAGCTGAAGCTGGGCCTATCTGGAACAAGAAGCCAGGAGCTTCTTCCTGGTACCCTGCTGCCCTCCGAGGTGCATTAGCAGGGAGCTGGATCAGAAGTGGAGTAGCTGGGACTCGAAACGGCACCCACATGGAACACTGGCACTGCAGGTGGTAGCTTTACCTGCTACACCACAGGGCTGACCCCATCCTACTGATTTTTAAGAACTTTTTATTTATTGAGGACATTAATGTGAAAAAACATTGCTTATTACTTTACTTCTAAAGTTGTTTTGAAGTTTTCATATTCAAAAATTATAAGATTTATTTAATGAAAATATTTTATCATAATTATCTTATCAATTTCTACTATGATTAGGACATGCTTAAACCTGATAAGTATCATTTGACTTTCTTCTACATGTAAATGGCTAAAAATTTAAAAAAGGATTTTTTATCATTAAATCTTTATCTTTCCAGAGTCCATTTTGGTGTAGGGTATGAGATATTTCTAGTTTTATTTTCCCAATTAGCAGGTATTTTGTTATTTGTGAATAATGTTCCTGTTCCATATTTATTTGAAATGCCACAGCTAACACATTAAATTCAGACAAACATTAGTTGCCATTTCTCAGTTTTCATACTCCCTTTGATTCACTCACGTTTACAAAAGAACAATTTCAAATGTAACATTTTAATGTATTTTATTATATCAATAGGTGGTACTAAAATCTCCCTTTTAGTTCATCCTAAAAACTATTAGCATTTCTTGGATGTCAATTCTTTCATAATGAACTTTAAAAATCACTTCATCTATTCTCTTTCCCTCTCATACAAAACAAACCAAAATTAATTAAAGTGAGCATGCAAACAACAAATACCTCTGGGTATAACATAAAGTGGAAGAAGTAGTTGGTTGCCATTGTGATAATACTCAGTCTTCACATCAGACTGTGACACTCTGCTTATTCAGGTCTTCCTTTTTCTCTCAGCAGTGTTATTATGGCTCACAGACAGAAGGCTTGGAGCACATGGAGTCCGCAGATGACACCCCGAATGGGCAGCAGGTTTCACTAAGGGTACAGTTCTCAGCCTTGAGGTGACAGGTGCCGGTTTTGTTAACATGCTTGAACTAGGCCTGTCCCTCAGGAAGGAATTTAAATGAAACGTTCTCAGAAACTGATGTGTAAAATCAGAATGTCAGTAGACAGATGTACAAAGAAAAATAAAGTACAGGAAACAGAATCCTCTGTGCTGCAATCAGAACGTGGTTTCTTTGTTGGTTCACTCTGAAGGGACGAAACAAACGAGGAGAAGGTGGGTTTTTGAAGCTAACATTAGAATCAACCATTTGAGTTATGTGATTTCAATACTGAACAAGATTAGCCTACATCAGTTGGAGAAATCCATTCTTTCTCTATGCACACAACTGCCACATGGCAAGAAAAGTTAGTTTTATTGTTGTCTGTTTCATTGGGCTGTATTTTCTGTATTTTGTTTTCCTTTATGCACTTGGAAAAGACCACCCTAATTTATAAAACAATTTAAACTTTTTTATTTTAAAAACATGTGGAAGATCTTCAAAAAGTTCATGGAAAACTGATATTATGTAAAAACTGAATGGATTTCAAAAAATTTGCACTAAAATAAGCTTGTATTAACTTGTTATAACATGTCTGGACAGATGTCAGTTGGAAAAGAAACCTTATCAGAGCAACATTAATTTTGGTAATTTTGAGGAAAGAACATCAAATTTGTGGTGAATCCTCAGTGGAAGAATGGTGAAAATCACTGAAGCTTTAAGAAAATTTTATGAGGACTATGACCCAAAGTAATAAGCAGTTTACCAATGGATGACTTGTTTTAGAGTGGGATGGAATGGTGTTGAAGATGAAGTCTGCAGCAGTAGACCTTTCACATCAATTTGTGGGGGAAAAATGAACCTTGTTCATGTCCTAATCAAAGAGCCCTGGCAATTATAGTAGAAACGGTGGCGGATGCCATAGATGTGTGAACTGGTTCAACCTAGAGAATTCTGATGGAAAAATTAAAGTTGAGCAAACTTTTTGCTCCCTGGGTGCCACAACTTTCTATCAAGATCCGTGACACACAAGGGCAGAGCTTTCAATGGAAATTTCAAGCAAATGGGATCAAGATCCAACTTATTGGGAGATGAAATATGACTTCTCCAGTACATGCTTAAGACAAAGCACAACCACAACAAGGGCTATCAAGAAACTGAAGAGGTCCAGTCAAGCAAAAGTGGACTTTTCAAGAAGCAAGGTCATGGGAGCAGGCTTATTTATTTATTTATTTTTAATACTCAAGGAATTTTGCTTGTTGACCTTCTGAGGAGCTGAAGGACAGCATCTGCCTACCAAGAGAGGGTTTTGAGAGTTAGTTAAACTTTAGCACAACAATGCCTGGGCAGGCCTCGCCAGAGCATCCTTCACCATGGCAATGCTCTGGCTCATCCTCTCACCACGCAAGCGCAATTTTGTGACAGTTTCAGTAGGGAATCATTAAACTTCCACCTTACTGCCTTGATTTGGCTCCTTCTGATTTATTTGTTTCCCATTATTAAAAAAAACAAAGGCATTCATTTTCTTTAGTTAAAAATGTGGGGAAGAAAAGACTACAGTGACATGATTAAATTCCCAGGATTCTCAGTTCTTGAGCGTTGCACTAAATGGCTGGTATCCTGCATTACAAAAGTCTCTCAAACTTGATGGAGCTTTGTTAAAACGTAACACTTACATTTCAAATTTGTAAAGATTTATTTATTTTATTTATTTGAGAGGCAGAGTAAGAGAGAATAAAAAGGAGAGTGGGAGAAAGAGTGAAAGAGAGAGAGAGAGAGAGAAAATCAATTTCCATCTTCTGCTTCATTCCTCAAATGGCCACAATCTGAGCTGGGCCAGACTGAAGAAGCCAGGAGCAGGAACTCCAACAGAGTCTCCAGCTTCCTGCTAATGTACACCATAAGGCAGCTGGTGATTGTTGAAGTAGCTGGTCCCTGCCGTCCACATGGGAGACATGGACTGGGTCTCTGGTTTCAACCTGTCTCAACCGTGGCCATTGTGGATATTTGTAGAGTAGATTGGGAGATGTGAGCTCTGTCTCTCTGCATCTCTAAACAAACATTATACATGATTCTTCTATGCTGCTTCTTTTTCTAAAGGTTTATTTATTTATTTGGAAGTCAGAGTTAAGGGGTGGGGAGGGGGAGAAGACAGAGCTCTTCATCTATTGCTTCACACCCTAGATGCTGTAAACCAAGAGCCACAAGTTTCATGTGGGTCTCCCATGTGGAGGGCAGGGTCTCAAACACTCGGCAGTATTATGCTACCTTTCCCAGGTCACCAACAGGGAGCTGGATCAGAACTGGAGCAGCTGTGACACAAACTGGCTCTCTTGGGATGTTGGAACTGCAGGGAATGCTGGCATTGCTGTCAATTTCTGATTTTTAAAAAGATTTACTTATTTATTTGAAAGTCAGAGTTTTACATAGAGAGGACAAATACACACACACACACACACACACACTCACAAACACACAGATCTTTCATCTGCTGGATCATTCTCCAAATGGCAACAGCAATGTGAGCGGGGCCAAATCAAAACCAGAAGCCAGGAGCTTCATCTGGGTCTCCAGTGTTGGGAGCAGGGGCCCAAGAACTTGGGCTGTCTCTGCTTCCTTCCCATGCACATTAGCAGAGAGCTGGATTGTAAGTGGAGCAGCTGGGACTTGATCCAGTGCCCATATGGGATGCCAGTGTTGGAGATGGTGGCTTAACCTGCTGTGCCACAATGCCAGCCCCTGTTATTCTTGATTTTTAAAAATATATGTGTGTATTATTTAGGAAAAATGATTGAAAACATTTGACTTGCAAAATGTTATAAACAAAAGAAAAAGATTTCAGAAGAAAACAGTTTTCTACTTAGGTTTCTCCAATTTGTAAATTTTAAAGAAACCCATCTTTTGTTTGAGAAGTGCCCTATAAGCTATGTAGAGATTTTAAAAGAGTTTGTTGAATGAATAAAGTTATAAACATTTTAATATTTTTCTCTCATTCATACATTCCTTAGATTTTTGTGTAAGTAATCTAGAGTTTATATTTGAATTATTATAATCGATATTGTTCTGTTTTATTTACACCTTGTGATTCACCCTTTTAAAAACATAACCATACACAACATTCTCATTCTTGAGGGACTAATTTAAAATAAATTTTCTATTGCCTGGTAGATATCTTTTAGTAATTTTCTCAGATAGATATTTGGGTTTGGGATTTTTTTAAAAGATTTATTTATTTATTTGAAAGACAGAGTTACAGAGGCAGAGGCAGAGAGAGAGAGAGAAAGAGAGAGAGAGTTCTTTCACCTGCTGGTTTACTCCCCAGATAGTCCCAACGGCTGACATTGAGCTGATCTGAAGCCAGGAGCCAGGAGCTTCCTCCGGGTCTCCCACGAAGGTGCAGAGGCCCAAGGACTTGGGCCATCTTCTACTGCTTTCCCAGGGTATAGCAGAGAACTTGATTGGAAGAGGAGCAGCCAGGACTCAACCAACACTCATAAGGGATGCTGGCACTGCAGGCAGCAGCTTTACCTGCTATGCCACAGTGCCAGCCCCATGGGTTTGGGATTTTTTGAGCCTTTCCACACAAATTATAACTTGGATGAAAAGAAAAATCTTTAGATAATAGCTTTTGGCCTAAAATTCTATATTGTCTTTTTTTAAGGGTTGCAAAACAATAGTGAGTTCAGCTTGGGTACTTGTAGGAGAAGAATATCTTTATTACATTTCCAAATTCTTTGTGAGCACCTTTTAATATGCCAAAGTGAGGTAGAACAAATTCCAAATTGAGTATCACCAACTGCTTGTCTTCTCAATTTGGAAGTCCCTTCTTTTTACTCCTAAGGGACAGAATATTTTTGAGTAAGTGAAAGTGATTTTCAACTGCACTTTGTGTAAGAAATTGCCATGGTAAATGATGGCTACAAACTCATTACAGGTTATATCTCTGAGGCTTAAATTCTAAGATTCATTCATTTGCTTATTTGAAAGGCAGAGTGACAGGAGAGATAGAAGAAGATATTGAGGGAGAGGGAAAAGGAGAGAAAGAGGGAGAGGGAGAGAGAGGAGATCTTCCATTCACTGGTTTACTCCCCAAAGGGTTTCAACAGTTAGGCCAAAGCCAGGGACCAGGTACCCTATCTAGGCTTCCCACATGGGTGACAGGGGCCCAAGTACTTGCAGCTTTCTCAGGCATATGAACAGTAAGCTGGATTGGGATGGTGCTGCTCCTCCGCACGCGGAGGAGCCGCACCGGACCGGGCGCTTGTTGTTCCCTTTTTTTACAAGTCCTTTCTATAGTAAAGTAAGAATAAGTAAACAGCAAACTCCCAAAGCAAGAATGAGTAGAGAGAAATGAGAAAGAACGAAGTAACGAACTTCCCCGCGAACTCTCCAACGCACTCTCCAACCAACCCACCCCACCATGCCGTCTCTCTCCTCCTATATAGTCCTCTCCACCAATCCCAACTCGGCTGCCCACACGCCGAGCACGCCGCTCTCCTCCAATCAGGAGCAGCTCCTGCAGCTTGTCAAGTTGGTGAGAGACAGCTGGGTAGAAGCTGTTTACTTCTCTCCCAGCGCCATATTGTGGGAGAGCAGATGCATAGAATAAATCTTAATTCCAGTAACAGTATAGTCCGAATTGCTCCCCACAGATCCCCCTTTCTTTTTATTTTTTGGCGTTGATACGCGCCTGTGTAAAGTTCAGCGTGATCTTCATGCTATTGACTGTCTTGTTTGTCGTGCTACTTCAGAGTTCGTTGAAAAATGTCCCGTATTCCAAAGATCCCAGGGATTGGTTATTCATTGTTTTCTTCCTCAAATGGAGTTTTCTTCTTCTAGATCTTCTGCTGGCAGGTTTATCAACCGAATTCTTCTCTCAGGGGTCCATATTGGTTGTGCCGCACCCTGTGGAAAAAAACAAACGGCGCCTCGTACTCTTCTGAGTAAGGGGAACGGGCCTTTCCATTGGTTGTCCTGTAAATCCTTCCACATTACCCACTGTATTGATTCCTTATCAACTGATTGAGTATGCATTTCTGCAGGTGTTTTACCGTTCTTTTTCTTGTTCAAAAAATTAATTGTATAAAGAGCTAGGGCCAAGACATCCTTGTTGGATGTGGCCATTTCCCCTATTCCCCCTTTTTGTTTAATTATTAAATTTTTTAAATATAAGTGAGCGCGTTCTACCACAGCTTGCCCCTGTGGATTGTATGGAATACCGGTAATATGGGAGATTCCGAATTCTTTCAAAAATGCAGCAAAACGATTTGATGTATACGCTGGGCCGTTATCCGTTTTGATCACATGAGGAACTCCCCAGGCTGCAAAAGCCTGCAAGCAGTGTTGGATTACTTGTTGTACTCCTTCTTTATTCATGGCTGTGGCCATAATTACACCTGAGTATGTATCTACAGTGACGTGAACACAGCTTTGTCGCCCAAAAGAGGGGATATGTGTAACGTCCATCTGCCAGATATGTCCTGGTTTAAGGCCACGGGGATTGGCTCCCGCAGGAATCTTTGGAACTATGGTAACAACGCACTTTTCACAGGATCTAATAATATCTTCTGCTTGCTTGCGGGGAATATTAAATTTAAAACTTAAAGTGTGGGTGTTAACATGCCATTTAGAGTGATATTCTTTAGCTTGTTCCAAAGCGGTGCATGCAAGCAAGAATCTTGAATAGTGATCTGCCATCATGTTTCCTCGAGTAAGTGGGCCAGGTAAATTAGAATGAGCTCTTATGTGGCCTATGTAAATAGCATGCTCTCTTTGATTTAATAACCCCTGAATTTCACTTAGATAAGAATAGACTGAGGAGGATTTAAGAATAAGGCACTGTGTAGCGAGCATCTGAACTGCATTCACCACATATGCACTATCAGACAAAATATTCATGGGTGCACTCTCTCTGCGTAATACTGTTGCGATAATAGCTAATTCTGCATGTTGTGGAGAAGGGGATGCTGTTAAAACGAAATATCGTTGATTGTTAAATATAGCTGCTCCTGTTCCGCCTTTAGCTCCATCCGTAAATACGGTAACTGCCCCTTGAATTGGATCCCTTCGCACCTTCTGCACCCGTTTTATTGAAACCTGTGTGCAGAAGTTAACAAATGGATGGCGAGGGTAGTGATTGTCAATCTCTATTTGTAGAATGAGAACTATGTATGCCCATTGCCAGCATTCCCTTGTAAAGGCTTCTACTGCCTCTTGAGCAAAGGGAACTACACATCGCTTTGGAGTCTTCCCCGCCATTTCTGTCGCCTTTTTTATTGCTGTTAATATTAAATCAGCCACCGCAATGCCTTGGGTGTATAGTACACGCGGTGCATGTGAATGTGGGTATACAAACAACAAGGGTCCTCCTTGCCAAATGACTGCGAAGGGATACAGTTGTTCCATAAAAATTAATATTTCTAGGGCTTGTTGTGGATCACATCTTTCCATCTGCATTGCTTTAATTTGTTTTTCAATTTTCTGTAACGCCAAGCGGGCTTCTATTGTCAATCTACGAGGG